TCTCAAGTGTGTACACCCAAAAGAAATGAGTACTTATTTCCAGGAAGACTTGGATGTGACTTGTCACTGGTGATGTTAGGTTTAACCACTAGGTGAAAGTGGTATCTGTCAACTTTCCCCATTATAAAATTACTGTTTTTCCTTTATAATTAATAAATATTTTGAGAGAGATACGATTATGCAGATTTTCTGACTTTTCTCACATGTTTTCTCTATGGATTTTAACATCCATCAGTGGTTCTTTCCTGCAATTATTAGTACAATATGCTTGTGATCATTGTCTTCTGTTGTTCCTTCTACATTAATTGTAATTCCTCTATATGGAGGAGCTGTATCCCTCCCTCCTTTCACTCCCTATTTATTTACTTCATTTATTTATGTGCATCCATCTAGATTTATGACTGATTAATTTAGTCCACAAGTTATAATCAACACTCTTGTTATTTTGTAGCTCACGTCATTCCTGGATCCCATCAGCCTCTCTTTTCCTCAGCTTCTGTGCTTATTGTTGATCATTATTTCTCACGTGATTAATTGCTGGGTATGAATGCCTAGGCTTCAGATTTGGAGCGATGTAGCAAGGCTTTAAAAAGACTCCAAAACTTGGTGTTTTCTAGAGCAACAAGAGCAACCTGGGAAGAACTCCTAAGAAATGAACTTGACTGGGTGGGCAGGGTCATTCTTATGTCCCTTACACATCCCCAGCCTTCTCTCTCCCCCTGAGGTTCCCTGTGCAGGATTAGGCTCCTTACTGCTGTCTTCTGGGGTCAGGGGCTCCTAGGAGATCAGGGGGTGGTGGAGAATGAGATGAGTCTTTGTGCCTTTGACTCCCTACTTGGCTGCATCTTCCACCCAAGGCCACTCCCCTGTGGGACACACTCCTTCCAGCTCTGGGAATCATTTCCCCTGTCCCTTCTCCGTGAGAGATGTGACAGTTCTGCTGTTACCAATCTCAGGTAACTACACTATCCATCTTTGTTTCTCCTTCCCATCATACTTTTGCAAATAGCCACTCTGTAAATAAGCCCTCCTCTAAGGATCAGAGCGTGTCCGCAGGCCAGCCTCAGGGACACAGCAGTGATGCACACTCTGGATGCTGAAGCCATGTGGGAGAGGCCAAGGTTTGCATCTCGGGTCTCCCTGACGACTAGGCACATGCATATGTGCCATGATCCTCGGCTGGCTGAGGCTAGGAGTGGGTCGTGGCACAAAGACCCAGTAAGAGCCCACTCTCTCTTCTTAAATAAGCTTAAAATAGCATTAGAAACTAATTACAATAAAAAAGGGGGGCGGGAAGCAGCATGTATCTCCATGTTCATGGCGGTATTATTCACGATAGCCAAAGAGGAAAGAATCCAAATAACCAAGGATTGCTGAATGGACAAATAAAATTTGGCATCTACTTAAAATAGAGTATTATTTAGCCTTAAAAAGGAATCTTTGAGGGTTCAGTAGATGGCATAATGACTATGTTGCTGGACTTCCACATGACCGACCCTGGTTTGAGTCCTGAACCCAGTGACTCCAAACTCATGCCAGGCACATGTGCGTGTGTGCCCAAAATCCCAAGAGGAGAATGGAGGAGAAGGGATTGCAGTGCAGCCATCCTCCTGGGGGTGATTTCTTGCTTTCTGTCTCTCTTTCTCTGTCTCTCCGGCAAGTGCATGTGCCCTATAGCAAAAATCTCTCTAAAATAAAAGGAAAACTTTGACCCCGGCTACAGCATGAGTGAAACCTGTGGACATTGTGCTAAGTGGAATAAGCCGATCAAGAAGGACAAACACTGTCTGATTCTACTTAGGTCAGGTACCTGGAATCCTCACATTCACAAAGCCAAGGAGTGGAATGGTGGTTGCAGGGGCGGGAGCGAATGGGGAGTGGGGAGTTGTTTAATGGAAGAGGAAAAGTGTCCTGGAGAGGATAGTGGTGACGGTTGCCCAACAGCGTCAGTGTGCGGATGCTCAGCTGTGCACTTGTAAATGGTTAATTTTACAGGTAAATTTGTTTAAGGTTTTTGCCATAGGGCTTGTGCTCCCATTGGAGAGAGACACAGAGAGACACAGAGAGGGAAAGTGAAAAAATCACCCCACAGAGGGAATGGCCACACCATCGCCCCTTCTCTTCCGTGCTCCTCTCAGGATTTGGGGCGCATATGCACACGTACTCAGTGTGGTTTTCAAGCCATTGGGCTTGAAATTCTAAGACTTGAAATTGCAGTCAGCCTTGTGGGAGTCCCATGCCTTAACCACTACATCACCTACTAGCCCTAGACAGTTTTTTAAAAGTAAAAAAGTAATAATAATAAATAAATAATGTGACACCATGAGAGACCGTGGAGGTGACAAGACAGCAGACAGCGGCATGGAGTGTGTGTGGTAGGTGCTACCAAGGCTTTCGGCTGAGGTGCCTACTCTTCACCAAGAGCCGCCCAGTCATGTGGCTTGGACAGGGGTCACGGGAGAGGACTTGGAACAGAGCAATGAGAGGGACAGGGAAGAAGAGGAAGTGAGTGTAGATCCTCCAGGCTTCATGGATTCAGGAAACATTTAAGGATAAACAGATAAATCAGAAAAGATGTGGTAGAAAAAGAAGAGCTCTTAGTCATTTTTAGTTGTTTGGCTTGTGACTAAGCAGCCCCAGTCCTCCATACAGGGTTCCAGAAGGGACACAGGTGGCCCAGCCATCCTGGGCCTGCTCTGTGCAGGGGCTCGGCTGGGTCCTTGCTCATGCACTGGCACCTGGACAGCCACCACTCTCCTCAGAAGCGCACACCCAGGGGAGGGCACCAGTAAATGAATTGACACCACTTTTCTTTCTGTCATACTTGGAACAGATTCCATCTGGAAAACATTACACGTGTGCCTGTTTGCAGATGTGTTAATTCCTCTTTTTTTCTTTCTTTTTTTTTTTGGGGGGGGGGAGGTGTTTGCTACAGGGCACGTGTGCTCACCCGAAAGACAGAGAGAGACAGAGACAGAAAGTGAGAAATCACCCTCCAGGGGGGATGGTCATGCCACAATCCCTTCTCCTCCATTCTCCTCTCGGGA